GCCGCTCCCGGCCCCCCCGGGGGTCCCCCCGCCCCACATCTTGCCTCCGCTGCCTCCGTTCCATCCCGGCATGTTCCCCGTCATGCAAGTGGATATGATCAGCGTCCTGGGCAACCAGTGGGGCGGCATGCCCATGTCCTTCCAGATGCAGACGCAGATGCTGAGCCGCATGATGCAGGCCCAGAACACGTACCAGTACCCGCCCTTCGTGACGGGCCGCATGCAGTTCGTGAACCTCCCGCCCTACCGCCCCTTCTCCATGGGCGCCGCGCTCGGTCGCGGGCAGCAGTGGCCACCCCTGCCCAAGTTCGACCCCTCGGTTCCACCGCCGGGTTATGAGCCGAAGAAGGAAGATCCCCACAAAGCCACTGTGGATGGAGTCCTCCTGGTCATAGTGAAGGAGCTAAAGGCCATCATGAAGAGGGACCTGAACAGGAAGATGGTTGAAGTGGTAGCGTTTCGGGCATTTGATGACTGGTGGGACAAGAAGGAGCGTCTGGCAAAGGTAGGCTTTCATCTGCTCTGGGCAGGATCCCGGGGAGAAGGGTTCATAGTGCTTCTGACCAGGGTGTGGGTAAGCAGGAGTCTGAAACCGACTTCAAAAAAAACCCACAACCCCAAAATTTTACGGTAACTAGGACAGAAGCAAAAAAGTAAAGCCATGGAATAGTTTTGCTGTGAGAAGTGATGCTGCCTGAGGCTGCTGAAATTAAAGGGGAGACATGCATGTCCCTGTCACTCACCTGGCTCCCGGCCTCCCAGAGGGCTGGTCTTCATGCTGAGGCGGGTGGCAAGAGTGTGTGCTGGGAGCAGCAGACCTCAGCCTGCAAATACCTGGAAGGTGCTTAATCACTGCAGGCACCTGCCTCAGGACAGCTTAGCTCCTGGGTGTTAAACCTGGCTTATTTCCATGCTGTCACTCCAGATATGTGCAGGCATTTCATGCTGCTTTGCCATCAGAACAAACACGGACTGGGAATTTTAAGTCCTTCCTGGTCACTGGTGGAGGTGCCCCATGCAGCATTCTCTCTGAACGTGTGTGGAACCATAACTGCTCACCTAGGAGTGAGCTGCTGCTCTGTCCCACACCGTCCCACTGGTCAGAAGGTGGGCCTGAGGAGGGGGTGCGTAGATCTCGGTGTTACTGCTCTGCTTTGGGGTGGATCTTCTCCTTATCCCCTCCAGCTTTTGGGCCACTTCAGGCCAGGTCTTTCTCTGCAGGGCTTTAAGTGCAGCCCACGCCTTGCAAGGGTCTTGGGGAGTGTGTCCATCCTGCACAGCACGTTGCCTGTGCCAGCCTGTTCCCTTCAGCTCAGCAGGATGCACCAGCCGTGCTGGGGCCTGATCCAGGAGGGGTCTGCAAACCAGCTGTTTTCCAGCTGCGTTTTGGAGGGCAGTGATGTCCTTACACAGGCATCTGAGGAAGGGCATTGCTGCAGCTGCTGCTGCCCCAGGGCAGGCTCGTGGGCTAGGTGACCTCCTGAGTCTCACCACAGTGCCCTGGTGCATGCTTACAGACTTACCCTGCCACAGGGGACTTGCAGGCTCCTCTTAAAGCTGGTCCACCAAGCAGTAGCTACAGGATGAGGGGGTAGCTGCTCCTGCAGACAGAGCATGTACATGTAGGAGAGTCCTCTCCACTGTGGTCCTTTCAGGGAGGTCTTCAGAAGTGGTGGTGGGGCTGCTCTGAAACCTCAAAAGTCCCTTCCCCTCATTTCCCTTTCCCTTTTTCCTCTCAGTGCAGTATTTCCAGGGTCTGAAGCTGGAACAATTTAGCAGCTGCATTTTTTTTTTTTGGTGGTCTGGGGCACTGCTGGCTGCCTCCAAGAAGGGGTTTGCAGGAGAAAATGACCCCAAGATTGGGAGAGAGATGTGCAAGGGCTTTTCATATCTAAGAAGCAGCTCAAAACTTTAGCTCAAAAAAACAAAGTCAGATGGAACAGGAATGTTTGAAACCTTCAAGCCACTCCAAGAAGGGGTTTGCAGGAGAAAATAACCCCAAGGTTGGGAGATGTGCAAGGGCTTTTCATGTCTAAGAAGCAGCTCAAAACTTCAGCTCAAAAAACCAAAGTCAGATGCAACAGGAATGTTTGAAACCTTCAAGCCGCTGTTGTGTGTTCCCCACTTTGTGTGATGGGACCTGTGGGTATCTCCAGTTCTCAGTGCTCCTCCTGCCTCCCCAGTGCACAGCAGCAATTAACTTAAAAGCTGAACATTGGCCAAATACACGAGGTGTTCCAGGGATTAGTTAAGAAAACAGCTTTGCATGAATTGTCTGATCCTCTCTCAGCCAATTTAGAGTGTACCTCAGCCAGCAAACAGCTCTGTGATCCCATACGTGGTGAAGTTGTCACTACCAAAAAAAACCTGACACTATAGAAGGGTTCCTGCAAGCCTCAAAATTACCATTACAGTGAATTATTGTAAAAAAAAACAAACCACAACCTCCACATATGCATTTGGTTTCAGATGCTGGGTTTCAGAGCAGGATCTTCACCGCCTGATTTTGTAAGCCAGTTGTGTTAACTCGAGTGCCCGGGAGAGCTCCTTGGCTTTCTGGAGAGGTTGGTAATGCTGCTGCTTAGCAGCTGGTTTATGACAGTGTAATTTGCTCTAGCTTAGAGCTGGCTGGTGTGACATGCAGTGAGAACCATGGTCCCTCTCCTCCTGGCTAATGCTCAGAGCTTCTGGCTCCAAACAGTGAGCATGTGCTGATGGTTTGGGAGGAGGCCCTTGAGCTCCATGGCAGAGGAAAACAGATCCAGCAAGCACTTAGAAAAGCAGCAACTGGAGTACCCAAGAAGTTGTTTTAAACCAGACACCCGCAGTGAAGCAGCAGAAACAAGCTCAGGCAGGTCTTCAGCAGCTGCTTGGGCTCTTTTATGTCCTGAACTAGAGTTGCCTTTAGCATGTTCCTCACCTGGAATTTGCAGCCTGCTCTGGGAAGGGGAAGCTGGCTGTACTGCAGCAGCTCACCACAGTCCTTGCCACAGGTTATGTTGGATGTGAGCAGTCTCATTGAAAACATGGAATTTGTACATGGAGAAACACTTGTGCTTTCTGTCCAGGGACAGAAACACCAGAACCATTGCTGCTTCAGGGCATGCCCAGGGAAGCCCCTGCCAGGCCATGTGTCACTGTCACATGCAGAAAGGTCTCACAGGTTTCAGAGCCCCCTTTCAGCTCAGCTGTGCACCCCCTGACACTCCTGTGGGACAGGATTCCTTCTCAGTTATAAGCTGTCTGCTTTTGCTGAAGGAAAACAAAATAGGAGTGTTCAGCTTTACCTGTACCTTTCTGTTGCCTTTATGCATATGTGAGGATGAGCTGAGTGGGCTCCTTGGTGGCAGCTGGAGACTAGCTCCCCATGTACTTTGCCATCACACTGATTTTTCTAGAATGGACCTAGACCTCCAGGCACTGTTTGAGCTGAAATGACCCCCCAAAACAGGCCCTGCATTCCCATTTCCTCTCTCCTAATGGTTTTAATTGGAGCTACTCATATTTTTGCTCACTGTTTGACAGTAGTGAAAGAGATTATATTATTTTCAGAGATTTGGAAGTTTTATAAATAAGAAAACATATGTGCTTGTTTATGTCTTTTTTTTTTTTCTTTAGAAATAAATGAGGCAGATTTGTAGGAAGAGATAATATCTTTTAATATCTCCTGTCCTTGGACCATCAGCTGCAGCAGTCCTCCTGTTATTTCAGAGGAGATCAAAGCTCATCTTTGGAAGCACATGAGCTCCACCATATGCTAGTTCCTGCAGTAGGTGTGTCCCTCTTCGGTCAGAGGTTCTACATGTCCACTATCTCCCTGACTTTCCCCAGGTGGGGAGTCTTGTGTGTTTCTTTTTTTCCCACTGATTGACAATGTTCAAGTTTAGTAGAACAGCACATACTACCTACACAACGCTGCTGGCAGCCCCTGCAGTGACACACAAGAAGGTAGCACACTTCCCACCTCCTGTGCCTCAGTTTCTCTCTTTTCTCTGTTTTTTTGATTGCTGTATTTTATCAAAGGAATCGACCTGGGCAGTCCCAGGAAGTATCACCTCATAGGTAAAAGGTGGGAGAGCTCCAGGGTAGAGCTGGTGTCCTGGGTCAGGCAGGGTGGATGGTGTGTGGGGTGAAAGCTGCTGAGGAGCATGTTGCTGGAGAAGGCAGCACCTACCCTGGACCTTGTCTGCCTGAGTTAGGGGCAAGCTTTTCCCTCTTCCTGGATCTGGTGATGGGTTGAGGTTTGAAACCCTCAGTAAGATGCATTAAACAGAGTGCCAGGAATAACCAGCCATCCCTGGCCACAGAGTGCTGCTGCCTGCATTCTCTGCTTGATATTCCCATTAGTCTTGTCCCTTATTAGTAGGAGAGTTGAGCTTACACTTCCTCTTCAGTGATTACAGCCAGCTTTGGCAAACCAGCTCTGTTAGTGTCTGTAAGAGAAACCACCCTTCGGACAGTGTGACACCGCTGGCTGATGTGAGGGAGTGTTGCTTCCAGAGCTCTTGACTCAAGAAGAGAACAACACGACAGGGTTTGTGGTGCTCTCCCTGGCTGCAGAGGTTTGAGTTCCTGCTCTGGTGAAAGGAGGTTTGTTGTGGCTGAGCAGAGATTAGACTGTGTGACTAGTTACCGAGTTTTGTAAACCCTCAGATGTTTTGTGTAAATATTTTGATTTTCCTGTTTCCCAGGCCTGGAGCCTTCTGATAGGTTGTTTGTTGAGTTGGTTTTGTTTTTTTGTTTTGTTTTGTTTTGTTTTTTTGTGGACTTGGGCTGTGGTTGTGAAGTGAATGCAGGAGTTTGGGGTGGTGGTGTATCCCAGCTCCTTAGCTTCCCTTCCAAGTTCAGGACCTTTGTACAGTAGCTGCTCCTTGGCGCCTGGTAGCTCCTGCCTTCATGGAGGAATGTGTTCCCTTGGGCTGTTGAGTCCTGGATTCATGTTTGCACCTTTTCTTTGCCTTTCACCTCTCCTTTTCACAGCCTTTGTTTCTAGTAGGGGTGTTAGATTCTGGCCGTTCAGGAGGTGGTCATTGCGGTCCCCACACTCAGTGTTTCAGAGACTTGAAAGAGCCATGGGTGCTTATGAGTGTGTTTATTTCCCTTGGCCTTTCTTGGGAAGGAGTCTGGTGTGTGTTAAGCTGCATGTGAAGGAAACTGAGGTCATGCTTTAAACCACTGGGGAAGGCAGGAGTGTCTGCTCTGCTACCTGCCAGCATCATGCTGGCTCCTAAAGCAAGATCACTTAGTCTCTCATGCTAAGCCACTCTTCTGGGAGTCCCAGAAATTTTGTCTTAATCAGCTTTAGTGCCTTGTGCAGAGAAAAGAACTTCCTAAAAGGCAAAGAGGGGAAGAATTCTCGGGGATGGAAAGGTCTCATGATGAAGAAGAGCTCTTGCACGCTCTCCCTTTGAAGTGTGTGTGGCCATGTGGTGCATCTTCAGACTGCCTTCAGAGGAGCTGCTGCCAGGGCAAGGCAGCGACACCGCACAAACCTCAGCTGCCTGAACGGTTTCTAGGGCGTGTGAGCTGCCCAGGAAACTTCCCTCCTCAGGTGTGCTTTCTCTGTTGCAGGCCTCTCTCACTCCAGTGAAGTCTGGAGGGGAGCTGGAGGAGAAGCCGAAGCCGAAGGATCGGATCGCGTCCTGTCTGCTGGAGAACTGGAACAAGGGCGAGGGGCTGGGCTACGAGGGCATCGGGCTGGGCATCGGGCTGCGCGGCGCCATCCGCCTGCCGTCCTTCAAGGTGAAGCCACACGCCTCCTGGGTTTTGCTCACGTGCCCTAAGGCAGCGTTAGGAGGACAGACCTCTCTAGGTTTGTGCCCCAAAGCCTTGCAGGCTTAGCCCTGCTCTGTGCTCGCTTGCGGGGTGCTTCAGGTGGCACCGCTTGTAACCCACCAGAGCACTGTAAGAGCAAGGATCCTCTTTCCCAGGCTGAGCTTTTCACCTACCCCTTGTGTGACTCGCCTGTAAAGGATCTCCCTCCTCTGTGAGGTAAACAGGACATTTGCTGCCTGTATTTAGGGCATGGTGTTTCAGTGTGAGTTTGAAAATAGGCTTGTGCTCATCATGCTTTACCCAGCTGCTTCTTTGCTTAGAAAGTCTTGTAGTTTGACAGCTGAGTCTCACCTCAAGTTTGGTTAAAAGTGTTCTCTGCCTCATGTGAGTTCACAGAATGAGATTTGCAGGCATTGGTTCACCTGTTTGAAAGAACATTTGCATAAAAGTTGAAAAGTATCTTTAGAAAAGTGTGGGAGGGGAGAAGACTTCCCTGAAATTAGGATGCTGAATGCATGGAAGTTGCAAGTAAAGTTTTGGGATAAGAGTCTGCAGGCTTCATTTAGACTAAAACTTGGTTCAGCATTCTTCTAGATGTCACAGGCTCAGGCTCTCCTTCTGTTCTGCCACAGCTCAAGACACATGGATTTGTCAGGAGTTCTTTGTCATCTTCAAAGTAACTGGTGATGACATGGCCATCCCATGTCATCCCAAACCCAGAGTGTTTTGATGCAAATTGAAGGGGTAGAGTTTCATTCACAGTGAAATTCTGTTTGCAGGCAAATGAAGGGATCAAGAGCTAGGGAAGTGGCCCTTGGTTTCTGGGTGTAAGTCACTGTGGCAAAGTAAAGCAGTAGCAATTTGCCTAAGAAGTTGATTTCGGCTGTTTCTAAACGTTTAGAAATGCTAATTGTATCTTTTGTTCAGGTGAAAAGAAAGGAGCCACCTGAAGCTGCCTCAGCAGGAGATCAGAAGAGAATCCGGCCTTCTACTTCTGTCGATGATGAAGATGAAGGTTTGCAAAGCACATTTGTTTGAAACACTAGAGCAGATGCAAACCACATGCAAGCTGAATTCTTTTAAACTTCACAGCAGTGTGCTCACTTACAGTTAGACACAGAGTGGAGGATCTGAGCCAAAATCCTCCTTCCCACAGACCTCTGATCAGCTGGGAGATGCCTCCTCTGGATTCAGTGATCTCAAATTCACTGGCGGGAAATTTAAGACCTATGTTTTATGAATAACTCATAACCTATTTTAGTTGTGCTGATGCAGAGCTGGTCACCCAGTAGAGGGAGCTCAGAGGAGCTCATGGACTGCTCCAGGGGCACGCTTGCCACTCACTGGGTGTGTTGTGGGAGAAAGCACCTTAAAGACAGTTTGCTCTGCATTTTACTTTAAAACCAAAACAAAGATGTTTGCCAGAAAAATCTATTTGAATATATTTTAACATTTTTTTCCTGGAAGCAAGGAAGAGTAGAGATAAACAAAGCTTTGACTACCCTTTGCTTTGCATAAAAAAGCAGATTCATGTTAGTTGTTAGTCTGAATGAACTTTATAGCACAACTGGTTTTGAAGCCAAAGTGTAGAAGCAGGGATTTGCCACTTAAAAAGGCATTAAATTCAGCTTACCTATGCTAACCATGGCCTGTGTCCTAGATGCTCTGCCTGTACTTGTCAGCTTTGGCCAGCCACATTTGACCATCCAGGCATTTCAACACCCCACACTCCATCTCACCTTGTGAAATTACAAAGCCCCTGTAAGCCTGGGGACTCACCCACCACACAGGCACCTTGCTCCTAACTTTGATCTTCCCAAAGAAAAGATTCCCACTATGTAGTTGACTCTCCCTCCATTGCAAGGCATTTGATGACAATCTCCTTGGTTTTGCTCACCAGAGTCAGAGAGGGACAGGGATGCTTCTGATACAACATCTGACCTGTCAAAGAAGGATGGAGAAGCAGTGGGGCTGAGGCGGCGACCAGCAAGGCCACTGGAGCTCGACAGTGAGGGAGAAGAGGGAGATGAGACGTCGGGGAAAGAGGAAGAGTCCTCCTCAGAGAAGGAAGAGGAGCAGGAAGAAGAGGGAGGCTTGGTGAAAGCACCACCTGGCAAAGTACGTTAGTTTGTGATTGCAGTTTTGAATTGCTGTCTGTCATTAAAAGAGGGCCTACTGATTCCAGAAGGCCAAATTACCTTCTCTAGGAGATGAGTGCTCCTGTTAGGGTCTGTCCTGAAAGAACCTCTGTAAGGTTACTCCCCCTCCAGGTTCTCTGAACAGCATCCCTGAGAGTTACTGGTGGTTACTACAGTGACAGCCACATCTCAGAGTCAGACACTTCATTTTTGGCCATGTTTTCTTGCAAAGGAGGAAGAGGAGGATGATGAGGATGAAGATGATGATGAAGAGGAGGATGATGATGAAGAGGATGACGAAGATGACGATGAAGAGACAGGCATCGACACGAGTGACAAGGAGGAGGAGCAGGACTCCGAGGAGGGTAAGCAGCTCCAGCATAGCCTTGGGGTCAGCTGTGCTTTCTCTCCTGCACTTGGGAGCAGATTTTTTCACTTGTGCACGTTGTGTCACTGAAGGATGGTCTCGTACAAGAGAATGTATGTGAGTGTTTGTGGTTGTTACCTGTGAGACTTCTGTGACCCCTCAGCCTGCAGGTCCCTTTGCAGGAGTTCTCCAGCCCCTGAGTGATCTCAGCCCAAGTTGACACGGGGCAAGGGTCTTAAAGCCAGCAAAGTTTGTGCTTGTTTTATGAAATGTGTGTGGCTGGGAGGGGAAGGGGCCACATTTCAAAGAGGGGTAATTTAGCTGCTAGTAACTTGCTGTCTTGTCAATCAATTCCTGCTCTGGAAGGTGGTAGTTTCCATATTCTAAAGCTGTGTGTGAAGGCAGCAGGAAGTCTTAGTACAACTGCAGTAAAGATGCAAACCACCAAGAGACCCACGTGGGCAGGTTCCAGGCAGCACTCGCTCTGCTGCTCAGGGAGCTGCCTGTTGTGTGGTGATTGGCATAAACATCCATATACATGGTTTATAAATCTGCAAAAATAAATAAATTGGGAGGTGACTGCTTCAAGCCCCCACACTGCTGTTGAAGCTGTTTCCATGCTGTTCCAGTGTGGATGTGATAAGTGATATCTGCTTCTGTAGTAGACCCACATTGTTTAATGAAGTCAGAAAGCAGAACTAATGGCAGTTGGTTCTTCTTGCAGATGTAGCAAGTCCGTCGTCTTCCAAGGCTGAAGTTGAATCCTCTGATGAAAGTGATGACTCCTCTGAATTCGAGTCGAGTTCAGACTCAGATGATGAGGATGATGAGGATGACGATGATGAAGATGAGGAAGAGGAAGAGGAGGAAGAGGTGGCTGAAGCTCAAGAGAGAGAAGCCATGGTTGCCGAGACGGAGCATGAACCTGCTGGTCATGAGATTCCTGATGATGAGAGGGAGACTATTTTGGAGCTGTATCCTGTGGATGACTACATGGATGCAACAGAGTTGGGACTCACAGAGCCAGCTTTGGCAGTGAAAGATGAAGGCATGGAAGAAATCAAGGCAGGGGAAGGTATATGTGGTGAAGTCCCAGAGGCATCTATTGCTGCTGAAACACTGAAACACTTGGTTATGGAAAGAGACCAGGAGACAAAACTTGCACTGTCTCCCATCTGTAGGCCAGGTATGTCCTTCTATGTGGTTTGGCATTTTTTACCACATTTCCAAGTACAGTATTCTCACAGCATCCAATATGTGTGGTTTTGTATTTGCCTTGTTCTCTTTCTGTGTGCAATCTTGGCTCTAGGCTAGGGGAAAGAGGTCTGTGCTGAACTTTCCTTCCTAGTAAGGAGCTCTGCACAAGCCATCTGCTACTAAAAATACTGTGGTTATTGTATCCAGACTCTTATCCTGGGCCAGTTTAGTTAGTGTCCTGCAGGAACTGAACAGTTGTCATCGTCCAAGGGTGACTGATTGGATGGTGTGGTGGCTGAAGCTCAAGATAGAAAAGCCATGGCTGCTAAAACAGAACAGGAATCTGTACTCAATGAGTCACTGCTGGCTCTTCTTGCTTTTCATAGCAGTATGTGACTGGGAAGCTGAATGGGACAGGTGAGTTGGAATCTCAGAGTTATATCTGGTTCCTAATGTTATTTGTGAGGCTTTTTTTTTAAGTAGTCCTTGTAAAGGAGTGATACTCTCTAGTTTTCTGGAAGAAGGAAGCTGTCTTCATTCAATACAGAGTTGTATTTATGCCAGGGAAATTAGAAACCTTTTGCTAGGACAGGAATTAGGTGAATAAAGCTTGACACATTCTTCAGCTAGGAGGAGTAGTTAAGACCTTAAACACTGGAGCCAACAGGGAGAGCATATCTACTGTGGCCTGCAGTGTGAGCCTTGGGCACGACTGGGGTCTGAGGACTGGGCAGTGTTTTGCCACTTGGAGAGCTGGAAATGCAATCCCTGCACAGGCTGTCACTCCTGGGCTGCCATAAAATCTGAAAGCCATAGAGGCAAAATGTTAAACTGGGCAGGGAAAAGGAGAACCTTGTCTGCACAGATCCATTCTAGAAGAGGTCAGTGTGCAGAAAGGACATAAATCTGGAGAGACCTGCATTTGGGCACCTTGACATGTAGAATAAGCTTTACAGGCGAGCTGTAGGAACAAGCTCACATGGCAGGGTTCTTCATGTGCAGCCCAGCCCAGTCGTGCAGGAGGTACAGGGATTTGACCCCTCTCCAATGGCTCTGGTTTGCTCAGCACAAATGGAGAGTGCTTCCCTTCCAGCTCTCCAGGAATTTTCACCTCCTTTTACTCTCTCACCTAAAAATGTTATTTTGAGCTGCCTAACAAGATTCACGGTTGATGCCTTTTCACCCTGGCCCTAAGGGGGTAAATAAACTGCAGACAAATGAGGCTGCTGCAGAGGGAGAGCAGCATATAAATTGCCTCATTGATACCATCTGAGTGTCTCCTCATTCATTACAAGGGCTTCCTGGCTCCTTCATGTGTTGTTCAAGAGTGTTACGCTCCTCCCTTCACTGCTCCCTCCTTGGAGAGCTGAGGGTGCTTCTTGGCCTTGCAATTAGTTTACCTTCCCACATTAGAAGAGCTGCTAGCTTGGGGCTCTGACAGCTCTCCTCCAAAGTCCTCACCCCACAGTCTGCCAGTTCTTTTTATGTCTGTTCAAAAGGTGGTCAGGGGTTTTGAAAGTGGAAAACCTTCGTTCTGGCCTGTGTCATAGCTAATACTCAAATTAATAGTGCGGGTTTTTTATGGTCCATTAGGGATGTCTGTGGCAGCATCTAATTAGTCCACACTCTGTGCCTCCAAAATGTAAAGCATTGGAGTTTTTAAAGCATCCCAGTGGGACTGAGCTGTTCTGTAATTGCAGCATCTGAAACATGCCTTTACTGGCAAGTGGCGAGTAAGCAAGTGGAAGCAAAGCTCCTAATTCTCCTCTCTCTTCCCCTTTCAGAGGAAGAGCCTGAACCTGCGGCCATGCTGGAGCCAGAGGCACAGGAAGGTCCAAAGCCTGAATCTCAAGGTGAGGAGGAGGCGCTGTGTCTCTCGACTCCAGTGCGAGTCTTCGGAGAACCTCTGCCCAATAAAAGCAGCTTCTTTAGCAAGTCTGAGGACAGCAGCTCAGAAGCTCATGTTAAAACAAAACTGCCCTCTTCAGTGGAGGAAGACAGCCGGTTGCCTCGCACGCCCGGGCGGGAGGTGGTGATCCATGCAGAGACTGATGCTCTCTTGCTTCCAGCCCACAAGGTGCCATGCTCCATGCTTCCCTTACCAACAACTCCCGGAAAGGAAGAACCTTTAGTCCCTCCAGAGAAGTTCCCTGAACAATTAATGGTGACCAAAACGTCTGTGGAAGAGGAGATTCCTAGGACTCCTGGGCGGGACATTTTGGCCAAGTCTTCACACCCCCTTGTGAAGTCCCAGAGCACGGACACTGTTCCAGCCACGCCAGGAAGCGACGCTCCCCTTACAGGAAGCAGCTTGACCCTCAGTTCCCCTCAAGTCCCAGGGAGCCCCTTTTCCTACCCATCCCAGTCTCCTGGCATTAACAGTGGCATTCCTCGGACTCCTGGGAGGGATTTCAATTTCACACCTACTTTCCCAGAGGCTGGTGCTACCATTCCTTGCCTTCTGTCTGGCAAGAAACAGTCAGAGGATGAGCTAGATGAGAAACCCTTTAAAGAGCCTCTTGGTGCTTCCCTTACGATCAGCATGAACAGTGTTCCTTCCCCTATCCCCTTTGCCAGTCCCCCCCAGGCAGACTTCCACACGGACATGGGTTTGCCACCTAATGAGCCAATAGCTGTAGCAGCCCTGCAGTGCATGCATGGAGATGGAAGAATGCCCATCGAGGAATGCAAGGCAGACATAAAATCTGTTTTGCTCTCACCAGAGGTACCCACTGGTGCTTCTCACCTTCCTCCCCCCCCACCACCTTCTGTTCTTCCCAAAAGGAGGCCAGGTCGGCCAAAACGGTCACCGCCTTCTGTCCTCTCCCTGGACGCGTACTCGGGCAAAGCCATGGAACCTCCACCTGTGCCAGTGGCCCTGGTGGAAAGTGCTGTGGGCAAAGAGCTCTTGAGTGGACATCCTGATGCTTTCTATGGACTGAAAGACCCTGAAGCCGTCACCCTGGACTTCAGGAATGATGGGTTCCATGAGAAGGCAGCAGCTGAGGCCGTTGCAGAGAAACTGCCTTTTAAGGAGCTGGAGAACCAGTGGAACGAGGACTTCAAGGAAGAGGAAGGTCATGCAAAACCTAAAAGACAGTGGCGAAGGCAGAAGACGACACCTGAGGACCTCCCAGTGATTCCTTCCCCTGAGTATTCCCCACCCCGGCCCCAGTTCAGGCCACGTTCCGAATTTGAGGAGATGACTATTTTGTATGATATCTGGAACGGAGGCATAGATGAGGAAGATATCAAATTCATGTGCATCACCTACGACCGCCTGTTACAGCAGGACAATGGTATGGACTGGCTCAACGACACCCTCTGGGTTTTCCATCCCTATATCCTTTCTCACTGGCTCCCGGCATTGTGCGGCACCTCTCAGGTGCTCTAGGTGGTCATTGTGTAGCACTTGGAGCCCAGAAGACTTAAGTTTGCTGGCAGAGGAAGCATTTGCTTACTAGAATAGCAATTGCTTGTATCAGCAGGGAATTTTAGACCATTTTTTATTCCCTGAAGCTGCAATACAAAAATACTGCAGAAGCGGCTGTTCTTGCTGCATTTTCGATCTAGGACTGCAGGGAAAATCTGTATGCACCTCTTCTGGGGAGGTTTCCTTCCTAGTTTGAGAAGCTTCTGTCTGCATTCAAACCAGACTCTTTTTTTTCACCTTGCCTGTGGAATTTCTAGTCTGCACATACAGATCTGTAACTTGGGGCTAAAACTTGCTTGTAAAAATAATCTCACCATCTGTGCCCAAAACGAGGAGTTAGTGGTGCTAGCAGCTTTGAGTTTAAAATACTAATAAAAGCAATGGCTTCTGAGCAGCACGGGGACAGACACGGCCCCGGGCTGGATGGAGGAAAGATAAGCTGGTGGTGCTGCAGTGAAGAGTGTGAGCACCAGTGGGCTGATGCTGAGGCAGGATCTGGCCCTGTCCCCTCCCTCCCTGCCCACAATCTGGTGGTCAGCAGCACTGCCCGTATCCACAGATCTCTGGGAGCGCTTTTGGGACACACGAGCTGTCTCAGAACGAGGCTCTATGTGTGTACAGCCACTCATGGTCTTCAGAACAGAGCCCAGAAGGTCTTTCTTAGAACTAAAAAACTCTCTAGTAATGTTTTTAGGAAGGGTATATGGATTTCTATATTAAAGAAGAAAAATGCACCACCTCGTGTGTTGCTAGAGGTTGTGTGGAGTTAAAATATCTCTTCCCTTATTCCCTGAAAGAGACAAAAAAGCCCAAACCACTTCAAATAGTCCATGATATGATGCTAACAAGAAGCAAGTGGAGCTCAGTGCTGAGCTTTGCGTTTTTATCCTTTCTTTCTCTGCATCTCAGAGGGCAACGGGCAAGATTAAATGTATGATTGTTTTTCCCCTCTCATACCAGCACAATCGTCTCAACATAGATTTATTTAGTTGTTTGAAGGAAACGTCTTGTCTCCCTGATGATAAGGGTTGTTGTAATGGCAAGTTTAGAGTTGTTTTTAAAACCATTTTAAAGTCCTCTGCAGCCAGCTGCTGGTGCACGACGAGTGTGAAGGTACCTGCAGGGTTCACCTGCTCTGCAGCGAGCTCACACCTCGGCGCCATCACCTTCTTGCTTTTTATGGTCCCTCTGCTTCAGTTTTCTGGCGTTATGACCTCTACATGGAGCATTTTTGGGTAGATCTCAACCATTGTGGGCCTCGTGGCTGTGTTTTTTGGGGTGAGCTCTCAGTAGTACAGTCCCACTGTCCTTCCAGAAGTCAAAGACCTGAAGGTGCCTTCTGCCTGCTCAATGCAGTGAGTCCTTGCCAAGCCAGCTGCAGGTTTTCTTGGCTTGAAATACCTGCACAGGGTCTTACCTCTTTCCATCTGGGTCTGAAGGAGCTGATTCACAGAGGCTGGTGAGAACAGCATTTCTCTCCCAGCCCCTTGGGCTGAGGAGCCTCTTTGCCCATCTGTGCTGCTTCTAGCCCTAGCTGGTGGGGATGATTGCTGCTGTGAGATCAGTGCAGTGTCTTCAGGGCTTGGGGTGGCCACAGGGAGTTTCTGAAGGTAGAACAAAAGTGTCACTCAAAACAGAGAAAATGTGCATCCAGATGGGTGGGCAGCTGCTGTCTGCGTATGTAGTGCTGTGGGGAATCCTTTCTCTGACAGGTTTCTCTTGACAGCTTCACCTTTTTATGTTTAAATTTTCATTACCTCTTTACTTTGGTTTCCCAAGCATGCAGCCAAGAAGGAGAGACCATGCTTGGTTTTCCTGTCGGCGTGTGGGCTTCACTGATGCTTTTGTATTTTTTCAATAGCATTGTTAACTTTTGCAACTCCCAAACCTTCCTAATTTTCCAAGCTCCTGGCATTAGCTTGATGTAGCTGTAGCAGGTTTTGGCTGGCAACCACCAGTGGTTGTGTCTCTCCTTAACTCCCTTCCACCTACTAGCTTTTCTACTCCCAAGAAGAAGAAGCGGGACGATGGGATGCGGGAGCACGTGACGGGCTGTGCACGAAGTGAAGGCTATTACAAAATTGATAAGAAGGACAAAGTTAAATACCTCAACAATAGCCGAGCTTTTGCAGAGGAGCCTCCAGCTGACACACAGGTGAGGACACGTCCTCTGCTGCCAGCTGGTGTGTGAATGGGGTTTGGGTTTATACAGTGTCACGCACAGTGGGGGCTTCCTGCCTTTTGGCAAGGAGAGAGTGAAGCTGTTGCTGCTGGGGAGGTGTTAGTGTTTGATGTGGGACGTTTTAGGAGACCACACGTTCTGCAGTGAAGTGTTGGAGCACGAGGAGGTGCTCAGAGGGAGGCTGCAGGGTGTTGAGTCAGCTTTGATGACCCATTTGTCCTCTCAGGGTATGAGCATCCCTGCCCAACCTCACGCTTCCACCCGGGCTGGCTCCGAGCGGCGGTCAGAGCAGCGCAGGCTCCTCTCCTCCTTCACTGGGAGCTGTGACAGTGACCTGCTCAAGTTCAACCAGCTCAAGGTAGGTCACCCCATGGGTTGCTGCTTGGCACAGGGGCTGGCTGGCAGCAGGCTCAGGCTGGGGCAGGGGATCTCCAGCCTGTTTGGTCTCACCTTGGTGATGGCCATCTCAGCATTGGGTACTGCTCCACGTGCCAGAGGATTGAATGGTACCTGGCTGTCCTGTACTTCCAGGTAATACAACTTAATACATGTAGTACAAATGATTTACCTAAAGAAATAGGAACAGAGTAGTTCACAGGGAAAACGTGACAGACCAGAATGCTTACCTGTGAGAAGCAGTGACATGAACTGGCTGATAAATGGCTGGACATGAGTATATGGTGATCACAGAGCTTGAGCCCTAATTCGAACCACCAGGGTTATGCAGAACAGAGACCACTGGCCTGAGAGGGTCTGTCTTGGGTGGTCAGTGGTAGAAACCCAAGTACTGCAACTCTGTGGCACCTCCCATGACCTGAGTCCTGCCTTGCTGTCACTGCAAGACTCGGGGAGTCTAAACCAGGTTGAAGTACTCCAGCACTGCTTGTGGCTCAGAGCATGCTGCAGATGCTGGACCCCAGGGTGGCCTTTCCCTTTCTGTGCTGTGGCTAATCCAGGGTTGGGGTTTTGGGCTGTTTTCTTCATGCAGTTCCGGAAGAAAAAACTAAAATTCTGCAAGAGCCACATCCATGACTGGGGCCTTTTTGCTATGGAGCCCATTGCAGCTGATGAGATGGTGATTGAATACGTGGGTCAGAACATCAGGCAGGTAAGCTGGACTGTGGGTGAAACCTGAGCAAAAACCAGCCCTGAAAGGAGTGCTCGAGTATGACAGCAGGGTTGGAGTCCCTGCTGTGGGGTGTTAGCTACGTGAGCTAGGCAGAGGTGGGCGTGTGGTCTGGAGGTGCAGGGCTGGGATTTTCAACTACCCATAGAAACTAAGCGCTCATATCCTTCAGGAGAAGTTCTCCAGAAGCCCATCATGAACCTGTGTTTTCAGTCAGGTCTGTGCTCTCTGTTGGGTTCATAGATGTGTTGAATGGCAGGAGCACAGCTCGGGTGAGCGTTGTGTAGCTCTGTGCTCACAGATGGCTCCTGCAGCATGCCCTGACCCTGCCCTGGGGTTCCCTGCAGGTCATTGCTGACATGCGTGAGAAGCGCTACGAGGACGAGGGCATCGGCAGCAGTTACATGTTCAGGGTCGACCACGACACCATCATCGATGCCACCAAGTGTGGAAACTTTGCCAGGTTCATTAACCACAGCTGCAATGTGAGTATCTGGGTTTGCATGGAACAGTGTTCTGACACGCTGACAAACCCACCGAGTCCCTGCTGACCCGGGCCAGGGCCGTGTTCAGAAGTAGCAGGGAGTCACAGGGTTGTGATTAAATGTTAAAGAGCTGCAGCAGATCAAATCAGAGTCTAGACCAGCCTAAAGAGATTGGAGAGACCTGAAAAATGAAACATAGCTAGACAGAGTGCACTCAGAATTTTCCTGACTGTGCTGGGGGACCCTGATGGACACTGTCCAAACTTATCTAACAAATATTTCCTTAAACCAAATTTTGGCACTGTTAAGCTGTGGGAACAGTCTGCTTCTAGTGTCCATGTGGGAAAAGTATTCTCTGCCCTGGCACGTAGAGAAGCTGCTTTCCCCCTGCTCTGTGCTGCAGTCTTCACTCAAAGACTCAGGCTCCTGACTGAGTTGTTAAGCATTAGTTGACAAATCTGGTGGAGCATCATCCAGGCTCTTTTGCACCACAGATAACCAGAGTGTGGATATTTTGGAGCAGCATGTGGAGGGCTGCTCTATTTTCTGGCTTCATGCCTTCCTCTCTAAGCTTCCCCCAGACCCAGGCTCTGGAATTGTGGCTGAGCCTGTCTGGGGAAAGGACTGCCCTGCCCTGGTTTAGCTTGGAATAACTGTGGAGGCTGGGAAGCTGTAGCCATCAGGAGCCTAAATCATTACCTGTTCAATTTGCAGCCAAATTGTTACGCTAAAGTGATCACGGTGGAGTCCCAGAAGAAGATCGTCATCTACTCCAAACAGCACATCAATGTGAATGAGGAAATTACCTACGACTACAAGTTTCCCATTGAGGATGTAAAAATCCCTTGTCTATGTGGCTCTGAGAACTGCAGGGGAACCCTGAACTGAACTCAAGGTTTCTCGTCACACTTGCACCTTCGGCCATGTCAAAACTGTGGTAACCAGGTGTGGTTGCACTTTGCCAAAAAAAAGAGGAAAAAAAAAAAACAAAAAAGGAAAAAAAAAAAAAGGAAGAAAAAAAATTTAAAAGGAAAAAAAATTAAAAAAAAGAGGAAAAAAGAGAAGAGAAAATCCAAGCAAGTTTCGCACTTCTGCCAGGATCATGAGTGGAAGCAAAAAGCGCACACGCTTTCGAGGACTGTTCATGTTTCAGGTGCTCTTTCCTTTTCAGATCCAACACGCACACAAAAAGGTGACGACCGTTTTGTGGCATGGTCTGCCCAAACACTAGCTTCTCTGTTCAGTCCCGACAGTACTGCTCCGTAATAGGATAATGGTACCTTCTTTTTTTTTAATTGTTGTTTCAAACCTTCATCTTTTCATAAATGCTGCTACCTTTTTCTCATCAGTTTCGTTGGTTGAAAAGGACATTCAACGTTTAAATGTGAAGCAGAGACTGAAAAATGCCATATAGGTTTTGTTGGGAGCTTGATTGGCTGAAATTGCACAGATTTCTCAGAGTAAGCTGTAAATAAATGTAAGGTTGATGTTACAGAGAGGGGGTGTGAGTGGGTGTGTGCGTGCGCTCAGGTGTGTGTGTGGGGGGACGTGGCCGCAGCCAGGCTAGAGGTGCCCTGTCCTGCCTTTTGGTTAGGGATCAGCCAGACACCCCAGGGAAGGAGTTGGGGCCCCCGCAGAGCTCGGCGCAGCGCCCGGGCTCCTCTCTCATTGGCATATGCCATGCTGGTATTTCAGGGGATCAAACCTCTGCACCCACATAGGAAGTGTAGTTGGCTACCGCAGTCAGTAGGAAGAAGTGGAGTGAGCTGTGCAGCTGTGGCCTCGTGGCACAGAGCCTGGCCCTTGGCAGCCCCTGCCCCTTGGACACTGGCTTGTCTTGCTTGCAAAAAAAGGGCTGAGACTGAAGTGAGGTGGATGGTTCAGCCCGTGTACACGATGTAGGAATCTTCCCCTCCTTGGAAGCATACACTACAGCCCACGTTTGTAACAGGATTTTCATCCTGTAGAGAGAAAATAGGCTGATGTATGTCTTGTATTAATTTTTTTCTCATGTTTGTCTGCATTTTCCTGCCCTTCCAGCATTTTGTGTGGAGTATTTGCTTTGTCCTTGAATGTGGGAGATGCCTCCTGTGATAGGAGCGAGCTGTGCCCTGCCACTCTCCTCCCTCTGTTACTCAGTAACTTGCCTGGAGTGGTCCCATCCCTCCAGCAGGAACATGGTAACAGTGTCCCCAGGAGCAATCCCAGCCCCCCCCTCCCCCCCAATCTACAGCATGAAAATGAATGCTGCTTTAAATTTGGAAGGCTTGTTTTGAAATTATTTTTTGATATATTTTGTCCTTGTAGGTTGCAGTTCTTCAAGAGGTTCCACTGAAAAATGAGGCAAAACACCAAAGATACTTCTTTGGATGTGATCTGGAAATGAATGAACAACTGGTCAGGTTTTGACAGGATCAGTTTTTCAGCTTGCATTGAGTCTCTGCCGCTTTAAAAGTAGTAATTAGTTGTACTAAACCCTTTTTAATTGGCTCTTAAGGGGAAGTTGCAATGTCATTATGAAGTGGGAAGATTATCTGCATAACTAAACATCTTCTCCCCACAGAACACGTTCCAAGGCTGTATTCTTGTAGCCTTTCAAAATCAGCAGTAATTGCTGTCTGGCCACAGCTCCACCAGCAGAGGTTACAACCTTGCAAAAGAGTTTCCTGGAATTTTTTTCAGCTGTGAGGTGGAATGGCCAGGCCCTTGCTGCAGAGCAGAGCTTGCCTGTAGGTTAGACCTCTGTGTGTGAATTTCTTGAGACAAAAGGCCTGAAAGTGCAGGAACATGCAGTCTGCTACAAGCTGCCTTAATACTGCCTGTGTCTCTGTCTGAGGGTGAGGAGATTGTCACCAGGGTTAGCCAGTCCATAGTCTCATCTCTGGTTTGGTTTTGTTGTTGTTCCCCCCCCCTTCTTTATAAATCTCTCCAGCAATTGGGTAATGGTGACCCCGAACCTAAAATTATGAGAAGCACAACAAGTTTCTGTCATTGAACATTGGTTGTAACTTCAGCAATGGCAGGAGCGCTTGGGAGTTAAACCAGCTGCTCAATTTATTGTATTTTTTATTAAATAAGGTTCATCATGTTGTGTCAATGCTCCAGTTAGCATCTCTACAGCTTGGCCTTCTACATTCAGAGCTTTGGAAATGCACAGAAGTTTCCTGGGTCTCAGAACTGAAGCTTCCACGTGCGGCAGTTCTGCTGATTGTCTTTGGCTTTCTCCTTCTCTAGTCCCTCAAACCAGTGTGTTAATGGTGGTTTTGTGGGGGTGAAGACCCCCAAGTGGCCCAGCCCCTAAGCCCCTGCTGACAGTTTTGTATTTCCCAGCATGTCTCTGTGCTCTGGATGGGATTAGCTCCTGCAGTTTGCCTTAATCTTTGTTGAGGAGAGGTTGGGAGGCAGGTCACAGTCTACTGAACTGAGGTGTACAGGTTGGCGTCCTTCACTGCGTTTTTAGGAGCACCAAAAGGATTTGGGTGCCAAAGACCATGAGCACCTCAATCCCTTGGGTACTTCTGAAATTGCCTGTAACCCATCCCTTTTTAGGATACCAGACAAATAGTGTGAGGTTTTTAAGGAGTTGAGCTCCCAGTAGCCCCCGAGGCGGGAATAGAGCTGTTGGACCTATAGAGCTTCTGAAAAATCATGTTAGTCTGGTTTCAAAGCCAAACCTGGGGCTTCTCTTTCCTTCCTCACAAATCTTGGCTTGCAGAGTCTTACCTGTGCAGCCTTTGTCTCAGACTGTGAAGCTGCAGATGGTTTTGTGGTGAGGGTTATGTCTGGATGGGTGATTTCCAGGAGCTGCTCGGTCCCTGCCAGGCCACGGGGTCTGCTGGGGGCCAGGGAGCCCTGCAGCCACGGATGTGGTTTTGGAAGGCAGCCCTGTGGAGATGTCCTTTTAGTCCCTCCCGGGTGCTTTGGCTGGTACTTAGAAAGGGGGGAGAGGAGAGGAGAGGCAGAAGGTGTGTGGTGCACGTGCCAGCCTGGCTCGGACCCAGCGCTCACCTCCCGCTGTCACTGCAGCACCCCTGGAAACAGTGGCAGGGCCTGAAAAACCCTTCACCAGCACGTGCTGTGTCACAGGGAGCTGCACTGAGGCAGTTGTCTTCACTGGAGAGCTTCTCCCCAGTCTTATTTTCACCTAAATTAAAACCCAAGACAAAAAAAAGAGAGACAGTGACTGTGCTCCCTGCAAAGTTGTATCTCGCTAGGTGAAAGGACCCCAGAGAATAGTGTGGAAGTCTTGGAAGCAGAACTTGCATCTTTAGTTGGCCAAGGTGGAGCTGGCTCAAGCTGAGGGTGCAGATGTCTCTGCAGTTGGTGTCTCTAGGAACTGTGCTCTGTGCTTGCAAGCCCTGCCTGCCACTGCCTGAGCCCTTTGTCTGCCCGTGGGGTTCCCAGCCCTGCTGGCAGCTGGGGGCTGGGGGCAAGAGGCTCATCTTCCACATCTTCATGTTGTATAGAGCAGCTTCTTTCTACAAGGAAAAAAAAGAAACCAGAACATTTTTAAACTCCAACAAAGGATACAGTAGTTTCAGTTCCAGTTTTTGTGACCTTTTTCAGGGATCATTTCAGTGCATTTCTGTATAAAATAAAAATTTAAGGACAAAAGGATTTTGAAGTATAAAAAAAAAAAAAGCATCTTCTGTACATAGGCAAAGTCAAGAATCTTCTCTTCAAACACTGTTTCTTGTAGAAACATGTTGAAAATTTTTTTGCTGATTTCTTTGTACTTCAAGAGCATGTAAATAATTTATTAAAAGTGACTATTGTAATTTGGAGTTCTTTTTAAACAGATTCCAGCTCTGAGTCATATCGAGGAGACAGGAAGGAAGAAGGACTAAGTATAGCAAAGGAGCTGGTGGCATTTACAGCTTGTGTCAAGCTTTGTATAATGTAAATTCTGTATAAATGTTTTTTTTTGTTTTGGTTTTTTTTTGTCAAATAAATAGATGGAATTAGAAGCATTAAGAAACTGAAAAAAAAAAAAAATTGCCAAGTCCAGGCTTCTTCTTCCCCTCCCTGCCCCAGTCTGAAACCTAATGTGCAAAATCTATTTATTTCAAGCGAGGAAATGTGTACAGTCTAATAGACAGCCTAAAGTGTATTTAAGCAAGTTTGCAACTGGATTCTTTTCAATTTAATCTTTGTTTTGTTCTTATGAGTTTCCTCCTTAATCGCCCCTGTAATCGTTTGTCCAAGTGAGAAGAAACACATCCTAAGGGACACTCTAAAACAAACAGGCAGTTCTAAAAGCAAAATGGAACGACACCCAGCTCCCAATCCTTGCAGCTATCTCGTCCTACAGACACTTTGTTTTAATTCACAGTGTGAAAATAAAGGGCCTCCTTTAAAAGGAGGCAGGTAAAATGGTTTGCAATAAAGGAAAACAATTTATTATTTTTTTTTAAGTTCCTTAAAAAAAAAAAACAAAACAAAACTCTGCTTTGAGACTTAGGATTTCTGCTTTTTCTTTTGTTAAGCAAATTTATAAATTTAGGGATGTTTTGTGCATATAGAATCTGTCACCAGTATGTATCTTGTTTTGGAGAAAGTGTTTTTGTTGTGAATGTGTCATGCTGTATATATTTGTTCATATTTTTGTGAATTGAATACTCTGTACCATTGTATTATAGTAACTTTTATAAAGCAAACCATAAATATACTGACTTTTCTTACAGAAAAATTACGTTGTGCTTAATATACAGCCAGGGCAGCTTTTTGCTCTCAGGCCCATGCTGGGAACTGTGAGAGCTCAAGGAACCAGATCCAGAAAAAGAGCAGTCCAAAGACCTGATTTTCAGCAAAGTTTACTGAAAATCTTAATTCTGTTGAGCAGGAAATAACTTTAGGACACATTATATTGCATGAAAGAAATATGTGAGTGATTTAAGTTCATAAACTTAAAGAAGATTTCCTTGACAGTGCCGGGCCATGGTGCTGGGTGTCCCTGACCCAGGGGGTGCAGCCTGGGCAGGTGGGTCTCTGCTCCTGGGTTTTTCTGAGGTCACATCTTGGTTCTTTGAACTCCATGGAGGTGAAAGCCCTTAACATATGGAGTGAGGTGTTTGTGTTGCTGGCTCAGGTGATGTTGGGCCCAGAGGCCCTTTGGTTTCTTTTTAAATGGGTTTATTCAAATCTGAAATCTGTTGCCTGTGGTTTACAGGAGGGGGGAGCTGCTGAGGTGTGGTGTGGATGAAAGCACAGCCTGGAGCTGGCCATGTGCCCCCACCCTCCCCCGTGGGGGGCTGCTGCTCCTGTGAAGGGTGGGGTGGTGCTCACAGTGGCTTCTCTGAGCTTTAGAAGATGTCCCTGGAGCAGAGAGGAATGGAGTGGCTGATGGAGGAGGACATGGAAGACAGGAGAAGGCCTGGGCTGTAGGTGACTTCCCAGCTTCTGTGGCTGATCACAGTGGCTGCAGGGAGGGGGCTGCAGGACAGCCAAACCCCCCAGGGCTGGCGTGGGGCAGGAGGCAGCTGGGCTCAGCCTGCAGGGTGGCCAGATGGGGCTTGGGGCTGGTGGAAGGACTCGTTTCTGAGGAGCCCACCCTGAGCCCAGGGCTTGGCAGGGGCCTTGGCTGCCTGGGGTCTGAGCAGCTGCATTGCTGGAGAACTCGGGGAGCAGGGGTGGGTGCTCTGGGGAGCTGGAGAGCAGCAGCAGGGAGGCTGCAGGCACCAGAGCCCTGGAGATGTTCTTCAGCAGTCCCAGGCTGAGGTCTGCAGGCTCCCTGGGGAGAGTTCAACGCAACAAATGGGGTCGAGGGGCTCCAGCCCCAACACTTAACTTACCAAGCACTCAAGCTGTGACTGAAAAGGGTTTTATTGTGTCGGTGGGGAAAGTCCCTTGCAAAGGACAGTGACAACACCAGAGCAATGCCTGGAGGGGGCTTTGCACACACAGCTGAGATCTGAGCCAAGGAATCGCTGCCAGTTCCAGCAATTACTGAAACACAGGAGAAGCCCCAACCCTTCATTAATTCAGGAATTTGCAGGTATTAGAGCAAGGCTGCCTTGCCTTGGGAAGGCTCAAATACGTAAATTCGATTAAGTCTCATTCCAGAATTTGTAGCTCCCCTGAAATCGTGTGTTTAATCTCAGCAAATTCAAGACTGAATCTAAAAGAAATTAAAATATTACAAAATGAGACGCGCAAAGAGGCAAATGCCTCCGTGCTCTCCTCTTCCAGCTTCCCACGAAGCTAAAATTAGCAGAAAACTTTGGATAGACTAAATTTAAGTGCTCCCAGTTGCTTCTTCTGTCTTCCTCCAGAGCTGCGTGTCTTGGGCACGTGCCTTAAATCTGCCCTTTGTTAAGAGCTCAGTTTGGATCAGATTAAACCACTTTTTAGGAGCGGGTTTGGGATTTCTCACACTCCCTCTCCCAAGAAGTCACCAGAGGGCAGCGCCGGGGCCGGGTCGGGGTAAGTGTTGAGTCCTTTCACATCTCCAGCTTGGCAGCAGCTTCCCTGGCTGGGCTCTTTGCCCAAACTCGGCCGTTCCCCGGTGCGCTGGGGGCGAGGGTGGCCTTTGCTGCCACCTCTAGATGCGCCTGGTCTCCCCGTTGGGCTCCAGGATGGTCAGGTTCCCTCTTGCTTCTTGATCCATTTCTATCGCTTCAAAAAGAGACTTGAAGTTGCCGGCACCAAAGCCCTGTGGAGAGGACAGTGTTAGAGAGCAGGGGGTGGGCAGCTGGAGCCCCCCAGGAAGGAGCAGCGCCGAGAGCTGGGTGGGCAATAGGACTTGATGGCCCTGAGGTCTCGAAGCCAAGATCATCGGGAAGTCCTCAAACCAACCTGGTGGTTATGCCTCTGGATGACCTCCAGAAAGACTGTAGGTCTGTCTTGAACGGGTTTGGTGAAGATCTGGAGCAAATATCCTTTCTCGTCGAAATCCACCAGGATCTTCAGTTCCTGCAGAAAAGAAACAGGGCAACAGCTCCAAGACCCACAGAGGAGCAAGAGGATCCCTCTGCAACACCCTCACCCAGCCCTGGGCAAGCCTGTTCCCTCTGGGGCAGCTCTGACTCACCGCCAGCTTGTCGATGTTCTCCTTCACTTTGATTTTGGCAGTTTTCAGCCTCTCCCGCAGCATCTGGTAGTAGCTGGATGGCACGTCCATGAACTGCATGCCCCGCTGCTTCAGGTTGGTGATCTGCAAGGCAGGGGAGGCCCCAGCGTGGGCCAGGTTTGTGGAATGATTTGTGCCAAGGTGGCTCAGGCTGGACAGTGTCCAGGGGCAGAGCGATATTTTGCCATGATGTTGGCCAGCGTTGTGTGTGGAGACCTGTCCCACCCTCTCACTTCAGGGACAGGAACGGGAGGGCCCAAGATGACCCCTCCAGGCAACACAGAGAGGTGGCCACCATGCAGTGATGCCTCATCCCACGCTGGCCCCCTGATACCTCTGGAGACCCTTTGGTCTAGAGAGGAGCCCAAACTTCCATCCTTGGTGGCAGCTGGGCTCAATCCAGACCAGCACCTGCACCAGGGCGGTGTGCTGTGGTGGCTCAGCCCAGCAGCCCATGCTGCCTGAACTTCCCCCTGGCCACCCCCACGGGCAGCACGTGCCGTTGGGGGTCCCTGCAGCCCCCAGGT